CAGGGGGTTGGACTAGATGACCTCCTGAGGTCCCTTCCAACCCTGATATTCTATGATTCACCATTTTCTTGATAAATTGAAAGACAGAGCTATCCTTTTCTGTCCTAATAATTGCCACTACCTCTGAATATTTCAGAAACTATTTGGCTTCAATTAGATATCATGTTTATCATTTTTAACCACCAGCAGTTCATTTCTCTTCCAAGCACAAAACCCTGGGGAAATACATTCTACATGTTCAGTTACATTTAAAAATAATTCTGTAATATGGGGACATCCACAATTCCATGCACATTGCTCAGTGATGTCTTAAAAAACCGACTTGCAACACATTTCTCCTGTAAGTGCAGGGAGTGCATATGGAATTTGTGTGTTTATAAACACTCATGTAAGCTGTATAAAATACACCATTTTTGTTTTGCAGATAGTCACATAAAACTTCTCGTCCTGTAAGGCTCTAATCTGGCAGAGACTAGCAGCTCAGTTACTCTCATACAGGATTGGGGCCTTATTTTTTTACAATGGTTGCAAGCCCCGTTTAATTCTTGGTTTTGATAAAATGGCCGGTATATTAAATGTGGAATAACATCACGCTTCCCATTTTGTCAATGGGAATGCCAGCTTCACTAGGGGGAAAAAGGCACATTTATCCATTTCTACTAAGAACATAGTCTTTTGGGTTTGAAAACTAATGCATTTTAACTGAAAAATAAAGTTCACACCAAAAGAGTTTGCATACCTTAATGCACCTCCCATAATTGAGTCTATAACATAATGTACAACTTTGAATTCTGAGTATTTTTCATCTTGTAGTGAATATTTTGCATGCCTCTAATACACAGCCACACACACATTAACCCTCACACACTGAGCAAATATGAAGCCCTATTGCTCTAGGATGTGAAACCTAATGATGAACACAAGGGCTGCAGATGATCAGAAAGGCAGAAGTTATTCATCATTCCATACAGCTGATCATGCACAGTCTTTGTATGCAGAAATATGTTTGACATAATGAGAAAAATTTGCCTTATTTCCACTTGGCTAATGATCATTTTTTTTTATTTCCAAGAAACACAGTAAGAGCTAGGTTGAGTCCTGAACTGAGTGTCTCAAGCTATTTTTTTTTTTTGGCACCCCAATACAGAGGCTACGTGTAACCGCAGTCCTTGCTGTTGCCTGCATGCTGGGAATATGGGGCCTGAGCCAAAGCCCATGGAAATTTATAGAAAACTTCTCATTTGCCTCAATGGGCTTTGGATCAAGCCCGCTATGCGGCCAGCACTGCTAGCATCACTACATTGATTGAGAAAGGCGGAGCAATGTCTCCACTTTACACTGGGAATAGAGGGAAGTATACGTTCCTAACGCTTGGTGCATACTCTGCTCACCGGAGAGTTCCCACAACGCTGCCTGGAGCTCCCATTGGGTGGAGTGGTTCTGCTCCACTTCCTAGTAGAGTTCTGTGTTGTTTAGAAGGCACAATCCAGCCCCAAGAATAGCTATTGATTTATGAAAGCACATGCCCACCTCCCCGCAATCCAGGCACATCGCCACAGGGTTAGCGTTCTTAGCAACACTGGCAACTGCCAGATTTTGGGGTCTAACTGTTTCACTGCTGTTTATGTGGTCTCAACAGCTGGGAAGCACACAGCCAGCTCGCACCACCTTTCTGCCTTACTCACCCCAGCTGGGAAATCCTACGAATGCCAAGCTCAGCAGACCATCTCCCTCATCACCAGTGATCACCAGAGAACCGTAACTCTCTTGCTGTCAGAAGTCCGCATTCAGCCCTTTGACATCAGTGCTGACTTTGTCTTCAGCGAAGGTAGGAATGTGTGGCAAAATCATTTTGAGCCTACTCTCTGGCCTAGCCCTGCATCTCTTGCACACCCCAAACTCCCAGTGACTTCAATGGGAGTTTTGAGTGTGCTGTCTATACAGGATCAGGCTTTTATTGGGACATTCAGCATGATCCTTGCCTCCAAACTCCTCCTGGGAATTAGGCGCTGAAGCACTTTTGAAAATCCCAGCAGGTCCCTATCTGCATCACGAGGAGCCTAAATTCCTTTACCGATCTGTCCCGAGGTCCCTAGGCTGTCTATCTTTTGTGGGGCAAGTGACAACTGGTTGTGATTTGTCTAATTGATCAAGGTGCTTTTGGCACGGGCACTGATTCTGTAATGCATCATCCAGTCAGCCAGCATAACATTGCAGAGGGAAGTTGGCAGGCGACTCTGGGCCTTTCTAATGATTAGTTCAGGTGGACACAGGAGGCAGAGATCCAAAGGCTTCTTTCAGCACTACAGTCTGAAATGGACCGTGTGTGGGGTCGGTGAGGGAGGTGGAACTGCACTGAGACTGGGTTATGGGGAGAGGAGGTAAGAGCAGAGGCCTCAGTCACTGCAGCAGGAGGGATGAAGGCCAGGGAGATACAGGCTGCTACCTTTCCCTGCCCAAGCTATTGCTGGGTCTTAGTGCTCCATAGATTTTATTGCTTTCTCAGAAGACGAGGTTGCCCCCCACTGGTTGGGGACTATTGATGAATTGGTCTGTGGTCCAGAGAACTGCATTTGTTGCATGGTGTATTGTGAATACAGCAGGGATCTGGAAGAGGAAAATGGTTTTGTGGTCAAGGCACCGGACTGGGTCTCTGGGGACGTGGGGTCAATCCTCAGTTCTGCTACAGATTTCCTGTGTGACTTCAGGCAAGTCCCTCATTTTCCCTGTGTCTCAATCCCCCTTCTGTAAAATCACCCTAATAACACTTCCCAAGCTCATAGGGGTCTGGTGAAGATAAAGTCCATTCATGTTTCTGAGGTTCACAGAATCTGTAGTGATAAATGCTATACTAAAGAAAGAAAGAGAGAGAAAGAAATCCTTATTCAATGCAGTGTTTGGAGGGTGTGGAGCAAATGAAACATGGACCCTCCCACTGAACAATGAAGATAAAAAGAAATATTGAACAGTGGTCTTTGCCGCAGAGTACCGTTCATCTTGTGCACTGAACGAGGCAGGGAACCTGCAGGAAAAGTAGTCGGAGGTCATGTAATTAGTCAGTGTCCTGTAATTCACAGGCAGAAAATTACAGACGGGTGGGTAACTCTGTCATTTCCTCACTTTTCAGTACTTAATTCTTTTAATGTAGTATTTTAAAAAATATAGAATAGACAGAAGCTGCTTCTGTGTTTTGTATGTTTTTTTTCCCCCCGATTTGGTCAACTTTATGATCAAAGAAAATCTGGTTTAACAGAAGATACTGTCAGAACTGTATTGTTCTCTGCGCTTTTTGTTGTTGTTGTTCAGAATCTGCTGTTAGCACATTGTACGGTGGCTTGTATTTATTAATTTATTTATTGCTGCAAGTATGTTTGTACCTGAAATGCTTAGATTAATACTTACAGGGTAAAATCCTGGCCCCATTGAAATCAATGGGAGTTTTGCCATTGATGTCAATGCAGCCAGGATTTCATCCAAGATATTTCTATGGGGCTTGATCCAGTTGTCTTATAACTCAGGCAAAACTCCCAAATTCTGCTCTGTTATCTGGTGTTCCTCTGGAGTCATGCCACTGACTGACTGAATTAGAGCTACTCCAGTTTTATACCATGTTAAATAAAGGTTTAGTTTGGACCAACGGTCATTTTGCCTGAGTTAGTATTTTAGGATCAGTCCCTTGCAAATTCCAGCTTTACTGGATTAATTAAGTCTATCATTATTCCTAAGCAAGGTGAAAGTAAATAATACATGGAGTAGCCAGATCCGTTACTAATTAACTGATGATTAGAAAAGGGTGGCGTTACTTGTCAAACATAACATTTAAAATATTGAATTGTGTCATTCTACCTGTGGGAAATAGCTCACCGTGTAGTAATACAAACACTTACTGCAAAGCAGTGCTTATTACCACAAGTACTATTCCCCTAAATTACATAGCAAACATATGCTGTTACAGGCCCTGACTCAGCCGGGGCTAGAGATGGCTGCATTACTCACAGTGAAGATGGGAGTGAATTATATAAATCTTCTCTATAGGCACAAATAAATTCTCTATGCCTTGCCATGCCACCATGTATTCTGTATAAACCACAGGAAAAAATATTATAGACATTTCAGAGAGATTTTTTGACACTTTTCAGATGCTATTTTTTTGTATCCTCCACCTGCAAATCTAGGCTTCCTAGTATGATGGGTACAACTGAACAGGCCTTGGGGGTGTGGGTTGGGGGGAAATTTATAACTGAAATATGCAAATTCTTATTAAAATTACCCAGCGTAGCTTTTCTGTCTGTACATAATATCCAAGTTGTAAAGTCTGCTATCTCGTACCATAGCTAGCCAGCAACCAGCACTTTATACCATTCACAAAAGGCCTTTCCTGATTTTCTAATGGCACAACGCTTCTCTTTGAACCATAATGGGCATGTAAATGCGTCACTTGTCCGGGACTCGACACTACCCAGGCTAGGTCTAGGGCACTGTAATTGCACGTGGGAATTCTATCTTTTGAGGAAAAGAGGTAATATTTATTTGGCAAATTTGTGAGGTTTTTTTTTTGAATGGTGGCTGTTTGAATTAGTCCCAAGGGAAAGTAAATAGCGGGCAGCGTACAGATGAGGTGGTCAGAGATGCCAGACAGATGTAAGTTATCACACAGCTCCACAATTTAACAAATGATTCTGCCATTTATCATGTGCATACCATTACTACATATGTGGGATGTCTGTGTACAGGGCATGTATGTAAATATAAATTATGCATTATTATTTGTTCAGCTTGGGATCTCCCGCTAGTCTTAAATTACAGTAATTAGCCTGCTCCTTTGCAACTCATTAATTTCACATTTGGTAAAATTTCTATTAATTATGAACAAGCTACATAATACTTTAAAATATATTAGAATTGAGAAAGAGATCTGTTAAATCTGAAGAGACTTTTATCTGCAGGAGGACTGGTGCGCTTTTAAAACAGAGATGTCAGTATGAATTAAATAGTGAGAACTCTTGTCCTTACCATTTACAAATTGGCTTATGAACCGTCCCATAGAATTTTGTAGAGAATTGTAGCTTTTGTTAATGGTTAACCAACCCAATAGAATGTCTATTACACGTTTAGTACATATTTGTCTTTAAGTCCTTTCCCCCAACCCTTACAAATACATTCATTGCTTTTATTTCTTTCCTACACCCAACACTAATGCTGGTTGAACGCTTTTTGTTTGAAACTTTTTTTGGTGACAAAAATGGCCTGTTTTGAAAACAGATTTTTCTTTGATTTCAACGAAATCCTCTTTTCTGATGGGAGAATGTTCCAGCTGAAATTTTTTGACTGTCCCACTGTCACGCTTGTGGTCCAAGGCTGAGGACAGGGGCTGGGGAGTTAGGAAGGTTGGGTTCTTGCTCCGCTCACTTTGAGCAAGTCCCTTTACCTCTGCATCATGCCTTGTTTCATCCACCTGGAAGAGGAGAGTCACAGCACTTACCTACCACAGAGAAGTGGTGTGAGTCTCAGTGCTCGTAAAGTGCTTTGCTCTCCTTGGACGAACGGTGCTACATAAATGCAAAGTATTATGATCATCTATCTGTGAGCAATCAGGGTCCGTAGCATTTTAATTCCCCCGGCAAACACGTGTTTGCTTAAAATTCACCTGTCTTCCGTTACATGCGGTCACATCCTGACTCTCGAATAGGGTCCCAAGGGAGGCTGTCGAATCTGTGTCATTGGAGGTTTTTAAGAACAGGTTAGACCAGGGATTACGAGACATTTCGTTTACGTGGACCATCCACAGGACCAGTCCCCTGCAGCTCCCAGTGGCCATGGTTCGCCATTCCCGGCCAAAGGGAGCTGCAGCAAGCAGCGGCCAGCACATCCCTGCAGCCTGCCACTTCCCACAGCTCCCATTGGCCGGGAATGGCAAACTGTGGCCACTGGGGGCCGTGCCTGTGGACAGTCAATGTAAACAAATTGTCTCCTGGCCTGCCAGCGGATTACCCTGATGGGCTGCGTGCTGAAGGTTGCCGACCCCTGGGTTAGACAAACATCTGTCAAGGATGGTCTAGGCAGGGGCGGCTCTAGCTTTTTTGCTGGCCCAAGCAGGGTCCTGCGGATTCGGCGGCTTGCCTGCGGGAGCTCCATCGGTCCCACGGCTTCGGCGTACCCGCCGCTGAATTGCTGCCGAATCCGTGGGACCTGCAGACTTCCTGCAGGCAAGCCACCGAAGGCTGTCTGACTGCTGCCCTCGCAGGGACCGGCAGGGCACCCCCCGCAGCTTGCCGCCCCAGGCACACACTTGGAGCGCTGGTGCCTGGAGCCGCCGCTGGGTCTAGGTTTACTTTGTCCTGCCTCAGAGCAAGGGGCTCAACTAGATGACCTCTCGTGGTCCCTTCCAGCTCTCCATTTCTATGATTCTGTGACTCTGCGTCCACTGATCAACCAAGACCTGGGTGTCCCACTCTGAAATGGTGAATAGAAGGGTCAATCAAGGAGAGGAACATGTTCATCAAGCTGAAAATCTCACCTGTGCAGGATAGGGAGACAGCCTTGCTAATGACCCTACAAACCCAACCTCTGGAACTCCCTCCCTACTCCATTCTCTCTCCATTCTCTCTCCATTGACCCAGTGGTTGGTAGTCACAGAAGGGCAAGATCCCTCTCGGGCCACACAAAAGATTTGGGAAGTAATTTGCATCAGTTTTTCTCTTCCCCCTAACCAGCCCGTTTCCACCTACACACCAAAGAACTCCACAGCACTTATCCAGAGAGCAGACTTTAACCTTTTCCACTCATCCTCACTCTTGGGTCCGGGGGCCATCTTGAGCACTTGCTCCCAGTGTGTGTCCAGTCCGTGTGGCCTTATGGAACGCCCACACCCCCTAACACCTGTCACGTAGCTCCCTGGAGCTTAGTTCTCACTCTGTGATCTATAGACTTTCCCATGCACAAAACACAACCGGGGAGATGACTCCCCAGTCCTTTTTGACTGAACTAACCAGATACTCTTCCACCACTGTCTCTTCTGAGAGGTTGAAGGTGATGCCTCTCCAGGACAGTCTACAGGGAATTCCACAACTGACCATCTGAGACTGAAGTGGGCTAATTACAATATGATTTTTAAAGTAAGAATAGAGAAGCTCAGATTAAAGCAAAAGCAAACATAGTAAATATAGTGTGATGCTTTGCAAAGCTCACTGGGCATGATCCAACGCCCACTGAAGTCAATGAGATCTTTCTATTGACTTTCTTGGGTTTTGGCCTGGGGCTCTAAATAGATTTGCTTTGGGTTGAGTTAGAGTGAATTAAAATGAATTAGTAAATAATAACAATATTATTTGCTCTTATAAAGCACTTTTCATCCATAGATCCCTTAGGAATTTACAAAGCAACCCCATTGGCCAGGCAGCTCCCTCAGTCAATAGTCTGTGACTATTAAGAACATTACAGACTTTGAATCAGCTGATTGGCTGGGTTTAAAGAGACAAGAATCATATAGTTTTTAGCATTCCCTTATCATTAATTCTGCTTTTTATCAAATATGAAAAAAAACGGATAGATTACTGCCTTTGGGCTAAATTATGGAGTTTTTAAACAAAAAGTTTTTTTTTTAAAGCAATCAATTTCCTTTCACCCATTATACTTATGCAAACATTGCAAGAAATACATATTTCCTGTTACAATGTTCTTGTGACTTTTTTCTGCTTAAAATAATAGTTGACGTCTGAGATGTGCAACTTGGCTTGTAAACAGTTCTCATTGCAGAGGACATGGTTGGCGTAGTTTGGAAAAAATGAATTTAAAATAAGGGAGTTAAGATGTTTGACATGGTGGCATTGAGCAGGTGAGGTGGAAAATTTGATTACGTTGTAAGATGTGATGTTAAAGATCAGTGTGGTGTATATGTCCAGCAACCAGTGATCTGCTCAGTATGGGGACAAGGGGCATTAAGATTTTGGCAGTGAAGTGTGGAGGTCCGGTGAGCTGAACAGGTCTGATGCAGGGAACTTATGAGCTTTGCTGTTGAAGCCAGCAGGCCTTCTAAACTAACTGTTAGCGATGCACACAGTAGCTGATTCCCATGGCATTTAGGCACCTAAAATCTTTGAGGATTTGGGACTACATTCTTTGAATGTGAGACAAGGGCACAGAGTGGTTGTAGCTCCTCTGCGCTGCTCGCATAGATCATTAGGGCCACTGGATCTATGTAATTCTGGCTTCTGTGTCCCTTACTTTAGCTCTCCTCCACACTCAACTCTGCTCTCCACACTAGCCTTTGCAGGTTCAATATCACAAATGCCTGTGTGCCCATATGCCTGTGGGTTGGAAACAACATTCCAATGGGATTCTGACTGTCATTAGATGGAAGGGGTGTTTTTAACCAAACCCTGGCATCAATTTTTGAATCCTGAATAATAACCAGTAGCCACTTCCTCCCTCTTTTTTTAACTGCACTGCAGCAATTGTGGCCATGTCTATAACAGAGTACTGGTGATTAATCACTGTTCTGGCAAAAACAGTGCAGGGACTGACTTGAAAAGGAGACGGCTAAAATACTTTTCACATCAATGTTTTTTCTTGCCTTCTTTGTTTTTGTTTTTAAAAAGCTTAATAATAGAATTCTTTCCCCAGATAGATTAGCCCCTTTCTCCATGGCCAGCTGCTTTTTGTACCCGGAGTTTTGAATAGTTGCTTTATGAACCTCAGCAGCTCAAAGGAATTGTAATAGAACCAGGAGTGTGTCAGCAATAAGTGGCAGATTCTCAGCTGGTATAAGTTGTCAGAATTCCATTTGAGCAATGTCCCTGCAGTTACTGCCTGGCTTTGTGTATGGATGGGTGATTATGCCCTCTTGTGGCTGGCATACATAGAGGATAAGGGATTCACATCACTCAGAGGAGTTCTCCTTTAGTTTTAGTGGTAGAGGACTGTGTTCCAGAGTCAGGTAACCAGGGTGCCAGGCCTGACCATCTTTAATAATATGGGGGAACTGGTATTTAGGTTGTCTAACACTTTCCATTAAGATTCACACAACCTTTATTTGAGAAGCTCCTTCACCTCCATTGTTTGCAGCAGGCATTTGAAATTTGGCAGGGAAAAAGCCCTGGGGCCAGAGAAGTGCCTTTTCTTTCCCCCCGAAAATCTGAGAGAGACTTTTGAAAATTGCAATTTTTTCTTCTGTCATTTGCACTGTCAGCAAAATTTTAGCAGCACCCTCTCAGCCTCCTGAGTGCTGTCCAGCTTGTTCAGTGAATAAGGCTGCGGAAAAATGTGATCATCTAACTAAAGACTGCATCATAATGCATACGCACAAGGGCATCACATTAAGATTGTATAGATCAACAAGATTCTGGCATTTCCTAACTTTTGAGTGCTTGACTGTGCTGTCTAAATAACATGTTTTGTATGTAATTGTTCTATATTGCAGTTGTACCTAGAGGTCCCTGCCCCATTGAACTAGCATTGTACAAACGAAGAGCTTGCAAACTGTGCATATGCAATTTATCTAGTAATTGTGGAAGTTGCCTGTAGGGCATTGATGCATTTGCATTAGTGCACATCTTCATCCTGAGCCTGTCAGGGTGTCTTTACTCCCACATTCCATCTCACTGAAATCAATGGGAGCACTCTGGGTCGGGTCTTCAGCTTCGCTCTGTGGACGTTTACACCCGCTGAGGAGCTGGATCAAAGACTGAACTACCCGCTTTCTCCTTCAGGATAGTCCCTGCAGGACAAGATGCAGGCACATTGATAAGTCACGCTTTCCCTACTATGTAGATAAAGGACTTCAAACCCAGGGCTGTTAACCTGGAAATCAAAGCGTGCCCCACCCTTCAGCTGTAACTGCAGTGCTAATACCCTTGCACTGGGCCAGATTATAGAAGGGGAGGGATGAATAGGCCATAACTCCGCTTCACTATCAGACCCTGAAGTGAACTCACAGGGCTGGCAGTTAGGAAGAAACAAATCAACCCTTTTTTTAAATTTGCAAACCGAACAAAGGTGATTTGGAGTCAAGAGACAACGAGCCCCCGTGAGGCCATTTTTACAGTCACTTTTCAGCAAAGGAAGGCACTTCAAGAATAAAAAAGACTATTAAGACAGACCAAGGTGCTATGGTAATAATAATAATAATAACAATAATAAATTGACATGACTTGTTGAAAGTTAAGCATGTGGTTAAGTGCTGGCCTGAACCAGGGCCTACAGTGGTCAATGCTATTTTAGTTTTCTTTAGAACAGTTGAGCCACCAATAACTAATGATTTTTCCTTTCTTTCATTGCTACTGAATGTGATTTTATTCTGTACAGATGAGTTCACTGTAGGCATTATTCAGTTAGCTTTATTTCACTGGCGAAGTTCATTTTGCACTACAGAACAAGTGAATATTTAAAATATTTCATCATCTCTTTCTCTCAAATTGCAGAACATAAGTGTCCAGTGGACGAGAGGGAACAGTTAGAAGAAACCCTGCCTCTGATTTTGGGTCTGATATTGGGGTTGATGATTGTGATAACCGTCTGCATTTACCACATCCACCACAAACTGACAGCCAACCAGGTACAACTTCCTCGAGACAGATCTCAGTACAAACACATGGGATAGATGGCAGGATGCATCCAAACTGAGTACTTATCAGGTAGACAAAGCAAAAGCACTTTTTTTTCTGTAGGTGAGGACACACGCATGGTATATCTACAGTATAATGGCCAAATGGAGATGAAAACACTCTTCACAGTCAAAGCTTCACGCTGAGGGCAAAATTCTCTTCTCAGATTCAAACCCCAACATTTTACTCTCCCCACATATGCAGCACTCCCTTGCCATACATGTATGAAGAGCTGGGTATTGGAGTGAAGATTTACTACTCAGAGTTTTGCTCTAAGCATTAATTTAGTGTATTCATTATTAAGAGCCATGTCCTGCATTCCTAACACACTAGAAATTCCCCTGGAAGTCAATGAAAGGAATCTAGGAGTGGCCACAAAGTAGACATTTTATTCTGAAAAATCCAGGCCAGACCTTCAGCTGGTGTAAATTGGTGTAGCGCCAGTGAAGTCAAAGTCAGCTGATTTCAACCAGCTGAGGAACTGACCAGGCATTTAAGGTTGAGAGAGGAAAGTTTGGTTTTGCTTCTGAGTTACACTTACGAACCTGTTGATGCACAAAATATAGAGCACCACGCTACTGCAAGTCAATCAATGCTTCTGGCTGGGCGTCCTGCACGTATTGTGATTGTCTTTGAAACGTTACATTGCTATCTGCACCTGACAATTTCACAACAAAACAAAAATGTTACCGTTACTATGCAGATCATTTCAGGTGTTACCCAATGTAACAGAAAATACGAACTCTATCAGCTAATGTAAAACATTTTTAAAATGAATTAAAATATACACCTGTATAAAATTTGATTTGCCTTTTTATTGTGAAATGACCTAAGGTTGTCTATAAGCACTGGTCGTTTATAAGACTGAATGTAGATGTACGTGAAGAGCGTGTAGAATGATACAAAGGTGGATTTAGTTTGTGTTGGCAGTATCTTTGGTGCAATAATGGCTAGTTGTACTGTAGTTTGTATGTTACAATGCGACCTAAAAAATTCAGCCATCCTCCCAGCCATTTGCTTGTTTGCACGTTTTATGAAACATGGGGTATTTCACTAACGTCCTGGTCCTGTTCCCATCGAAGTCACTGGAAAGACGCCCATTTTTAGTGCAATTTCAGTAGTTATTGAACCAAAATGTACTTTTCTCTTCTTATTTTACCTGATTTAAAGAGGAACACCTAGAGAACATCTCCCTGAACTGCCTGTACTATATATTATATGTTATGAGCCAAGAAAAATATTAATTCAAATCCTGAAACTACTGGAGAACTTATTTGTATGCTTTTTTTATAATAAAATAATATATTTAGGGCCTAGCTCTCCTTCACAGTGAGGTCAGGATGGGCAGAGATGGTGTCCCTGGCCTGTGTTTACCAGAAGCTGGGAATGGGCGACAGGGGATGGATCACTTGATGATTACCTGTTCTGTTCAGTCCCTCTGGGGAACCTGACATTGGCTGCTGTTGGAAGACAGGACACTGGGCTAGATGGACTTTTGGTCTGACCCAGTATGGCCGTTCTTATGTTCTTGTGCCTCTTTATACCCCCCTGGAAGTATAAAGGGGCCTTAAAGAGGTGTACATTACATATATAAAATACACCCACTTTAAGGAGAATCAAGCCCTTATTTATTTATTTATATTAAGGGCTAGATTCTGCCTCTCATACATTGACTAGCACCTTACTACTTCAACAGCTTCACCGATATGAATGAGGCTAGTCATGAAGTAAGGTGCTGCTCAGAGGAAGGGTGGAAGATTCTGGCCCTTTCATAAGTGATCCCAGTTAGCTATCCTGGCATTCATGCACATAGTGAAAATAACACCGGGCCTGATTTTCCACTGCCTTGCACGTTGTGTGTGCACTCATTGACACCCCTGCAAAATCCGAATAATAGGAGCCTTTTCCGTCCACTTTGCAGCACTGCAAAGAACTTACACGAGGCGCAGGGCACTGGAGAACCAGGCCATTGACAGAAACAGGCAAGTCTAAAACCAAAACCAACCCCACTTGCCCTCCCTGCAGGCAAAATCCGGAGAAGAGGGACAGACCTTGCACTGTGCCCTAAAGCTCAAAAAAGCCAAGCTCTCTAGGATTAGCTGAGGAAGTGACTTACAGACTTGAGGGTACCCCACTGAAAGCTCCCCGTCCCACAAGACGCACACAACTCAATCTACAGATTCTAGCTTGAATGCCCCGGCTAACCTAAACGGCTGTGGTGCACCAAAAGGCTTGTGGCAAGACAATCTCATATCTAGCCTGGAACTAAAGGTTCTAAAGATGAAGCCGGCACCTTGAAAATAAGAAGTCAGTGCTGGTGTGGGATAATATGCACCTAATACTACATAACAGGTGCGCAGCCACACTTGGACACGACAGCTGGTGCAGAACAACCTTGTCCACATCCTAATCTCAGTCTGACACTGGGAAAGCAAAGAGCTCACACTGTCTAGTTCTGATGAACCAGACATCAGCCACCGTCTGACAGCACCACAGCCTAAATCGAGTCTCTATGTCTCTGAGCCGCCTTGCAGGTATGTTGAGCAGATGAGAGCGAAATGTAGCACTCCATGCAAGAGGTCACTTGAAGCAGACAAGCAACTGCCCAAAAATGTGCTTTTGGGATCTCTTGGAAAGGAAAGCTAGACCCACTCAAGAGTATCGCCTACCCCAAAGGTTTCATTCCACAGCAGTATGCTAAAGATGACCATAGTGAGCAGCTGAACTGCAACGTGGTCCAGTCAGTGTCATTAATGTTAGTCACACTCAGGTCTTATTTTCCCCCATGTCTGCAGGAAGAGAAGTGACAGCTCTTACTGTGATAAAGCTTTGGTCTTTGGGCTTTCAAACTTCAAGTGCAGGTGCTCTGGGTTTCTGCCACCATCATTAGAGGCAGGATCTGACTTAGAATCACGGAAGCTGGTTGTTGACGTACCCTCTAAGTCATCAGAATTCGCCATGGGAAATTCTAGCAGCACAGCTACGTATACCCCTGATGGAGAGGAGCAAGATGAAGAGCTGAGACTGTTGCTGTGTATAAGTAGAATGGGAAAGACCCTTTTTCTAATCAGACTCCAGCCTGGCCTGAAAGCCCCAAAGCCCCTGCTAGCTCTAGCAGATGGAAGCGCTGAAGGGAATGATTTCACCTACCCTTTTCTCTACCGTAGATGCAGCAGCATTTGCCGCTGCGCTCCCCCCTTTTTATATTAATGGAACCGTTCCCTGGTGCTGAGATGCTCGCCTGTTCTCGCTGCTTTTCTCCGCATGTCTCCTCTGCCTTTGCCTTCCTTGTTGTTGTCACTCTTCCAGCCAGGAATGGGCGTAAAGCTGCAAACATCTGCTCAGTGATTTTACATCCAAGTGCGAAAAGAAAACAGGCAGATGCCAAACGAGCCCCTGAGCTGTCATTTGTCTTTTTTACAGTCCATTTCAGCAGAGATGGCTTCAGGCACCCAGAGGCGGTAGGGGCAGATGATGCACCAGGAGCCCCCTGCCAGAGCGCCAACAGAAAAGCACCATTCTGTCTATTTGCTTTCTATTCCAATCATGTGTCTATGCAGTACTCCCCCGCCCCCCAGAAGCAGCAGCTGCAGAGTGAAACTGACTCCAGGCATGCTTCCACACTGCAGCCAGGGCTCAGACATAACTGCACAGGCATAGCACCGGAGCCAAGCGCCTGCCTCCTCCTTGTGCGGCCGTGTTCTGGTCTTCTCTCTCCTCTAAGCTAATCCAAGTGCTGGGAATGGAGGCGAGGGAAGGAAAGGGGGAAAGAGCCAGAAGAGGAAATAGGGAGGGAGGGAGGGAGGGAGGGAAGGAAGGAAGGAAGTGTGTGCGTGTGTGTGTGTGTGTGTGTGTGTGTGATAGACAAAGCAAGAGCGTGACCAAAAGGAGGGAAGAAGAAGAGCAGCACTAACCAATGAAATACTTGACTCTGACGGGCCCCATTGCTCCCCTGGTGGGTTATGAATCTCTCAAGCCAATAGGCGCAATTCATACCTGTGGTGAGATCATATTGGGAATGAGGGAAGCCTGGATGGATCGCTCCTACACAGGAATGTAACTGTAGGGCTGGGATTAAGCTCTAGCAAGAAATCTACATAGTAGACATTTATTGTTGCCTGGCCCAGTCTCCTACAGGACCATTAGAAGCAGTGGGCCAGATTCTGCTCTCATTCACATGCTTATTAATCTACCTCAGTGTTTCAAGGACAATGATGTCCCTTCAGATTTCTGCTGCTGTCGCCGAGAGCAGTATCTGATAGCCTTGCTAATCAAAAGGCTGATTCTCTTTTGTAGCGAGCTCATTTTATGCGGCTGATGCTGGAATCTGAAAGGAGGGGATAGCCAGTCCATAAACCCCTTTGGACACACTTGACTGGACTGTGATCGTCTTGCACACAAGAATCCTCCCTGCTTGCACAGCTACAGGACTCATGCATTCTTACACGTGGGGCCACCTCTGATGTGGCTGTACATGTGGATGCTAGGGGGCCATGCTGAACTTACCACCCATTGGTATGCATCTAACTGTATTTCCAGTCTGTCTTCCTGGCTCTTCTTTTTGTGACATGCTTAGCTCATTTCTACTTAACTGCAATCACTGACATATCTTTCACCTTGGGGTTCAGTCTCATCCATTTGTTTTCTTCCATTTGCATGAAATGCTAAGGAAGTGCTCTTTCATATTGTGTAGACCACTTTATACTTTTTGCTTCACCGTGTCTGCTCTTCACTATATGTAATAGTTAGCAGTACACTCCTCTGAAATTGTATTGTTTAAGCAGATTAAGCTTGATTTTTCTGTCTTCCAAAGGTTTTCAATCTAGCATTTAGTCTTTCAACCCGCTATTCCTTGCTTGTCAGTTTAGATTTGCATGTATCAGCTGACTCATCTGGAACAACTATTAATTCTAACCTATGACATTTTTTATTTTTCTTCCTGATTTGCAGTGAACATTATTGTGATGTCCCTTATATTCAGAATTCATTCATTTCTCTTCTTGTTTATTTCTCGTAATTCATTCTAGATCTTTAGGTGCTTATGCAGAGACAGCAATGACGTCAGCCAATAAAGTAACTCATTGACAATAACAGGTGCTGAGGTGCATCATGCTACCTTTCTTGTCATTTGGATATGTTACCACTGGAATGTTACAGTTGGAAGGTACCTTCTCATTCTTGAAATATCATGCGCACAGCCTAGTAAATTACACCGGCAAAGCACAAGACACTGTATTTATCTAGGCGTGCTGAGAGAGTAGCTCAGTAGCTTTCAGTGAGAGAGCGGTGGTGAATGGTTTTATCTGTAATCCAACAGACTCCCAGACCAGGAGTGAAATTCTGTTCCCATTGACGTCAATGGCAAAACTCTCATGAACTTCAGTCAAGGGCAGAATTTCACCTGAGGTTATTAAAGATGAGTCCAACATGGAGCCTAATCGGGTTCGTAGCACTATGGGAAAAGATGTTATTCCAAAGTTGCTCCCATACACAGTCAATACCAGCGGCACAGGGTCAAAACTCATCCTATTTCTGGGGTTTGGTTTTATTAACAAGTTAATATGATAAACAACAAACTGAAGCCTCCGCAAGCTCATATGATGGCTCTTTGGATCTGCTCAGCCTCAGTTTAGATTCCTCTGTGTCAAAGGCCACTCCAATCTCTCTTCTGTCTAGGGTGGAGTTTACAAGCTACATCTGCCATAGGGCGTCAGCAGAGCTCTATGAACTTTTCCTTATAGGCTTTCGGGTAATCAACTAAAAAAGGTGAGTCCACAGAAGGACCCTGTTACAGCATCTTTAAAAACAGTCAGACTAATAACTGCAGATACATGTTGCAATTGAGCGGAAGTTTCCAATAAAAATTAATGCTGAAATTTACTGACCTTGATATTAAAATTTTTATCTTTGTATTTTGTTTTCTTTTTTTATTATCCCTTCAGAACAACTCAGTCATCAGAACTCCATACAGGCTCTGCACATTCTCTGTTTTAATCCTCCATCATTGTCTGCCTTCCGAGTTGCCCAGGTTGAAAGAAAATGGACAAGTCCGTTTATACATTTTTTTATTCAAGTGCCCCTTCAGACTGATAGCTCTCATAAATTACTAGAGGATGAAGTCAACAGAACTTTAAAAAGAACCACTCTCTCTTGCAAAGGAAATATTGCTCAGCATTTTGAACGCAGGGAAACACAGAAGAGGCAGGAAAAACACAAGAAAAATGCAAACATTTAAGTTTTTATTTGCATGTGGATTTTTTTCCACCAGTAGCTGGAGCTCACAAAACCTTTTCAGCTGACAATAACTTTTAGTAAACTCGATGAATACTGTTTAAAAATATCTAGTGATTAGAAAATTACACAAAATTCTCCACTTGTACTGTTTAAAATGTGCTGAATCTCAAAACCATTATTTTATTCAAAGATGATTAAAAGTTTGAATTTTGTGGCTAATATAATGGTTCTAATTGTATGTTATTGTCTTTATTGATGTAGCATTTTTCCTGAGTTGTCAAGACCACAGAATATGAGCGTTTTCTCTTTTTGTAGACTTAATTTCATAGTGTCTTGTACAGAAAGATTCTGTGGGTGAGATTCAGGCAACACTCCCATTGCAAATGGTGGGGGGGAGCAGTAAACATGGAGGCATAATTCTAATCTTCACCCTCATGGTTTGTAAGAAATGCTGGGACTCAAACAACCAGAGCTCTCCAGTCAAGGAAGGCTGTTACTGGCTATCAGTTGCTTGGCGACACCAGGAGTGTGGCATGTTCTCTTCAGACCCAGTCCAGCAATCTGAGCCAGTCTTTTCGGAGACCCTTTTCACCTTAATAAAGAGTGCAGAACTAGGCCCTACGAGCTCCATTCTTTGAGATGTCGAGTGTCCTCAGTTCCCACTGACTTCAAAGAGAATTAATAGAGCTCAGGACCACACACAGGACTAGGTATATTTTGCAAAGTTAAAATATGCAAACAATATTAATCTAAGAAAGAAACATATCATGATATGCAAATTGTAGAGGATTTACTAAACATTTAACATTCTTGTTTGATTTTGTTTCTCTTGTTTGCTCTAACTTTTTTATGGTATAAAAATGAAGGCTCTTCTTTGCCATTGGCAAAATCTCTTTCTGAGAAGAAAACTCAGAAAGTTCAGCTCAGCAGCATGCCAGAGCTGTGGGTTTTGTTTATATTTTATTACAATAAATAATGAACAAGTTATTCACAACAAAATTCCATAATAAGAAACAAACTAATCAGAGTGTTTCCACAAAACTGGATTATTGATGTTTATCATCGTAGAGCAAAGTGAGGTCAGTAAGAAAAAACGATTTGGAAAAGACATGGCTTTTGTATTATGCATAATTAAAATGAACTAATCATTAATAAATAAAATTTATTTATAATTGAAATAATCATGACACACTTCTAAAAATTTTAAAGGCAAATCTACGTAGGCCTACAATTAACATGCAAGTTCATCCAACAAGCAACACAAAATTTATTGTAGTAGTCAACTGTTCTATCAACATTCAGAAAGGTCTACACAGCAGCACAACTTTTTCTATATGGAAAACACATCATAACATTATTACAACAGTCTGTTTGAAATTTGGAAAATACCCGCTTGGTAACTTGACCTCTACAGTCAATTTCTGACTTCTGACACGATATAAATAATGGGGATTATTTTGTGATAACGAGGTCAGTATAGACTAAATGAAAAATCTGCCATATTGCTAGTAGATGATCCTTTCTCATTAACCATCTCTTGAACAGATGTACGTGAGTTTGATGTACTAAGATACATGGCTCTGAAAATAATGATATGAAACAAAACCTCATAATTTATAACATTCAACATAAGCACTTCTTTCTATTGTGTGACTGTAATCATCTCATCCGATCTAGTGATTCCAGAAATGTTCAAATCTTTAAAACTATAATTTCAGTGGTGTGATGGGAAAAGCATCATTTTTATCAGTACTGTCTGCACCCATCTCTGTGTCTGTTATTTAAATTCCTGGAAAATCTGCCAACATTCTAAGTTCCTAAAGGTTTTTTTTTTTTCTGTTTTCAAAAGGGATAAAAAAGTAGGAAAGGTTTTGTTCAAACGCTTGCTAAGTTCCTCTTATTACTTCAACTAGCACGATGGGTACATAACATCAAAGTACTGTAAATTATCAAAAAAGTACTATACAGAAAATTACAAATTCATTTCAAAATACATTACACTGCTATGATTGAGATCAAAAGTGCTTTTTTTGCCAGAAAAGTGTTCTTCTGAAATAGAAGTGTCATATCGTTTACTTTTTCAATAAAATTCTGGTGTTTTATCCCGGTTGTGCTATAATCTATTATCTTTCGCCCCCTCCCCCACAACCACATGTGTAATTGAGTCCGTCTGCTTTGATGGCTGAAAGGCTAAGAGATGACTACCTGTGGAAAACGTGCTTCATGCGACAGTGCTAGAAGCCAACAGATGACTGATTTAGTGGCGAAGGAACGTCGCAAGTCCTTTATAACCCAGGAGAGCACCTCATTGTTTTGTACACTGTATTATTTCCATAGAGCTGTTCTGACTCTGATAAATTTCTGTAGTGTTGCACTTCCCCATGGTTTCCACACAAGCTCTGGATTCCTTGGCAAGTCTTTCTCCAACTTCTGTACACGCCGCCTCCTGAAAATTCACTGAATTCAACGGTGTCTGTATTGCCTCATGAGTGGCACAATACAAGCAGGAGGGCCTGCCAGTTTCAAAAACGGATGTCTTAATAGTTCTTGTGCTGTTGCTCTCTGGGAGGGCTCCCTCACCAACATCAGATCTAAGAACCCGCGGAGCACTGAGGAAACCTGCAACATCACATTGACATTATGAAAAGCAGACAAAGTAAGTAACTTGCCACGCCTGAGTGGCTTTTCAAACCAGCTTTGCTGGAAAGTCAATTAAAATATAAGTTAAGGGCACGCAGAATTGCGACAGGAATTACAGTTAGTACATATATAGGACTGAAAGGGCACTTATCTTCCCTATATGAGTACATTAAGAAGTCATGTGGCGTGAGTGGGGAAAGAGATCAGAACATGGCACTTAACATGACTCGGTATAAAATGAATTAGCACAGCACTAAGCCTGGTCAGTTTTTCTTATTACTGAGGGCCAAATGCTGACTCTATCAGGCCATGCAAAGGAGTAGGACTCCCCTTCACAGGCCACTTGGAGTTTGAGTTTGGATGTGGAGAAATACATAGGGCTGCTCACCCACTTACTCTATCCCCAGAGTTGGTGGGTGGGCAGAGGTGGCGAATGAATGGAGCTTAGATTCCAGCCCATCCCCCTCCCAATTCAGTGTCCAGAGTAACTAAGCCAGCACAGGATGGAGTGGGTAGTAATCTACTCTTGGTATAGCCCCACAGAATACTACTATACCCAGTTTATGCACCACCCAATGCTCAGGGATGTGCCTGAAGTCACAATCTAGCCCTTAGTTTACACCATCATGATTAGGTCATGGATTTGGTTGACCTTAATATGTGCATGACTCCATATAAACATGAGCATGCTCACCTTATGTATGTCCTTCACTCGTGGGGGTAAGTTATCTCGGATTCTGCGCATTGCTTGGAGCGGTGGCTCATTGAAATAAGGTGGTTCTCCATCTATCATTTCTATTACCATGATACCAAGTGACCAGATATCCACCTGCAATGGACCAACAGTTGTTGAACTGTGCAACTAATAGACAAACACATATACAAGGATGAGCATTTTGAGATGTTCAGTCTTCCCCGCCCTATAATACCGTTGCTTTTTATGCAGTATGTTCTGTTTGTTTCAATGGGACCTTCTGCTTAAAAACGGATGCTCCGTTGAGATGGCTGCTAGCTTTTTACCCACTGTTAATACATTTTGCTACTGAGAAAAAAGCATAGACTGAAAGGAATTCGCAATAAATTATGGGCCAGATCCTCAGCTGGTGCAAATCAGCAAAATTGATTGAGGCCAATAAACATGTCCACCAGCATGGGCCAGATTTGCACTAGTATGTGTCAGATCCAAATAAGGGCCATTGACTGCAATGGAAAAACTTTGATTTACACCAGCTGAAGATCTGTCCTATAGAGCATCTAGAACACTGTATGTTTATGAGAATATTTGAAGAGCAGAGTATAATTTAACTGCCACAAAACCAGCTATTTTAAGCCTACTAAGCTCCGTATTGACTAATAATGGGCCTGATTCTCATTTCCATTAATGCTACTGGCAGTGTAAAGGGGGTTTAAAGTGGAGTAAATACCTTAGGCACATTTTAAAGCCCCTCTACACTGCTTGAATAGTGTAAAGCGGCCAAAGGGTATGTCTAAACATGGGTTTGATTCCAAAGCTTGTATAGACATACTTGCTCTAGCTCGCACTGAACTAGCGTGCTAAAAACGGTGGTGTAGTCACTGTAGCATGGGCAGCGGTGAGTGGGGACCTGGGCTAGCCATGCTGAGTGTAGACCCACCTGAAGCTTGTGGGTATGTACTTGGGGTAGCTAACCCGCGCTGCTGCTCACCACTGCCAGTGGCTACACAACCATTTTTAGCATGCTAGCTGAGTGAGAGCTAGTGTGGGTATGTCTATGCGAGCTGTGGGATCATACCTCCAGCTCCGAGTCTAGGCCTACCCTTGGCGTCAATGACCATCGGGCCCCATATCATTTGTGTACTGAGCGCCACACACATTGGGCCAGAATTGGCTCTCAGTTACATGCAGTAAATCCAGAGTAACAGAGATGACAGTGGCATTTTTCTGGTTTTACACCGCTCTAAAAAACATAGAACAGAATTTGTCCCACTCTGCATTATGTGTAGATACAGCCTCTTGCTTACAGCTTTAAAGCATGACTCATTTCCCGGCTTGTGTGCATCAGTTATGTCTTCATCTTAGCTGTTATCATAGATAATATAAAATCAAATAAAAATATGCTAAACCCTACTACCATGTGGAGTAAAAAAAGAGAGTTAAAAGTCACTTCTTTGGATGGGAAACTGTGAGTCACTGTCATTACTCAGAGAAAGGAATAATTTTTTTATAAATCCATAGTGATCTCCAGTTCTGAAATCCCGTGACTCACTAACAAATGGGTTATAACATCACATAACACCTGTGAGTCTGTACAGCCAACTCCTTTCTAGTCTCATCTGAAGGTCCCCCAATAAAAGCTATGAATGGTCTATTCGCCTGACAGTTTGGCAGTTCTCAAAATAGTTCCCTGAGTCACAGAAATTGTCACTGTTACTCATCTTAATGGGTGAGTTGACCATACTTTGAGATGAATTGCAGCCTCTTTGAGAGTAAATGTAACCCATGCCGCTGTGGTGCTTAATTTGAGAGAACTATCCTCCCTCATTCACAGTAACAGACAAAAATTAGGGTTAATCAGAAATCTTCTAAACTGGTTAAATATTTCTACATAAGCATCCAAGTGGGAAAATAACATACAGGTTATTTTCTTTCATACATTGGATCACAAATGATAGTGTGGAAGTATAATGGTTTGAGAGCTTTGCACTAGATTCTATTCCCCCCACACCCCGCCCCAAGCCCTTGCAACCAGATGGGAGGTTTTTTCATCAGTTCTTCAGAAATACTGATGAGCTGTAACTCTGAAAGTCTGACTGCACGGTCTAGCCATCATAGAAATGCCTGTTTGTCAGACAACAGCCATATGGTGCATGAAGAATGGCTCATGAAGGATTGCCAAGTTCTTTAAAATAAGTCCACAGCTAAATCATAACTGCATATACGTAGGATCTGTTGAAATTTTCTGCCCTGAAGGACCAAAAATCAGGATCTGCTTTTTTCCTCACGGAAGATAAAATATACAATTGAAGGACAAATTTTCAAAGCTGAAGTCTGCAGACCAGACCACAGCAAAGGTCATGGGTGAAACTGCCCTTCCATCATTCGAGCCCAGTGCAGAAGAGCATTAACAATTATCTTTTATTCTGTGTGTTATGTATTGGTTATTCATTTTCATTTGGGATCTAATCCTAAACCTCCTTATTATTCCTCTGTAGGAGTTTATCGCTATCCAAGTAAACCTCCTACATAACTCAGCATTTTCTTCAGGCATGAACCTACAGAACCTTCAGACTGAGGTTTTTGCACACTTCATTTTGCAATTTTCTGACTTCTTCACTGACATCTGGACAGTTAAGGATCACGGTCAGCCATGAAGTGCTTCTGACTTCACCTAGATTGTCTACAGCAGGGGTCTCACACTCAATTTACCTAAGGGCCAGTGCCAGTCCTCAAATCCTCCCAGCGGGCCAATAATGTCACTGAAGATGGTGTTCAGAAAATAAAATGTTTATATTGTATTTTTTATTTCGCATTTCTTAGAAATAATAAAACTGTCATACAACTTTATACAACTCTTCGCCTGCCAGAGAGTTTTTAGTATTTGCCAGACACCTGGCAACGCTTCAGTTCTGTCACTTTGTTGATGTTTGGTCTCAGTGACTGAGCAGTTCAAACCTTCAGGATTGCAGCAAAGTGTGCATCAGATAGTTGTGTTCGGTATTTTGACTTGTTTATATTCATTGTGGTAAAAAGTGATGTTGCCTCCATGGCTGACTCTGCCTGGCGACTAGTGATAGTATCTCTGTCCCTCTCCCCCAGCCAATGGGAGCTGCGGGGTGCAGTGGGGAGATTCTTGGGCCGCAGATGGCCCATGGGCCGGGACTTTGAGACCCCTGGTCTACAGCTTGGTATAATGGGCCCTCCTATGAAGAATCATTCAGATTCTGCACAAGGGCATGGAAAGATCAGCACCTGACATCAGACGTTTATGGGAGGAAATCCCCATTTGTTAAGAAATGGCAAGAAAGTTGGAGAGAGAGTAAAACACTGTCTAGTTTATGTTCTGAGTGGAAAGTAGGGCATGAGTGGATGCAATTAGTTGCAATGCGTGTGAAATGTGAGTGGGATTTTCAAAACCGCTCAACCCTGGCTTAGCTCGTTACCACTGAGCAGAGTGAGGACAATGCTGGGCATTTTTAAAAATCCCACCCTGATCACAATCTGGCTAACTGCACCCAGTGTTAGTCCTTTGGAGTCCGGGACCATCTTCTTGTTGTGTTTGTAACATGTCCAGCACAGTGGGGTCCTGGTTTAGGTTCAGGGCTCAATCGCACTACAAATAATGACCAAACCAAACCAACAACACGAATGGCAAGTGACCCGTGTAACTGGCCGTTTATACATGCCAATGCTTGAGTCACAGGTGCAAGGGTGGTAACTAAACGTGCATACAGCATGCACAGTTAGGCTTGCATTTTTTGTACATGTACTTAGAGCCCTGCATGGAGACAGATTTATACCCGCGGATGCGGATATCCACGGCTATCCATCGGTATCTGCGGAACCGCAGGGCTCTTGTGGGAACCGCAGCAGCAAACAGAGCAGTACGTGGGGCCGCCGCTTCCAGGAGCCAGCGCCCTGCGCCGGCAGCTCCTCTGGTGCAGCTGTACCATCCCCACTCCCGCCCACTGGGGCAGGCACCAGTCTTACCCGCAGCTGTCCATGGTCATGCTAGTGTGTTCAAGCGGTGCACATGACCCCAGACAGGAGAGGCAGACAGTTCCGTGGAAGGGACGGGGGTGGGGCTGGGGGCGGGGCTGAGGGCAGTTCAGCCAGGCTGGCCCCACGTTCTGCTCCTTTCGCCACTGTAGTTCCTGGGAGAGCCCTGTGGTTCCGTGGATACCGATTTATATCAGTGGATATCCACATCCGCGGGTATGAATTTGTAACCGTGCAGGGCTCTACATGTAATTGCACATGCCTGTGTTTGAAAATCAGCCCCCTGGCGTAAGTGAAAAGAGTATTACAATGCAATCGTTAATGAGAAAATTATGACAATTCCCTTTAATTATATCACCTAAGCTAAAAATACACATAGAGGCTGCGTTGTATAACATTCTAAACATAAATTCTATTTATTACTGTTTGATCGCATCCCCAGGGATTCACGTTTTATGACACGTCCCTGTACAATGTCGCTGCTTTGAGGTACCGTCTATTGCTACTTTATTGCACATGCAGTGATTACAAGTTAGTGCATGTTTTTTTACTGTATTAAACATAATCAAAACTATACATCTCTACACAGTGAGCGATGAAGTCACTTAAAATTGTACTTGTTTTGTGAGGAAGCGGTTGCATCAGCCGGACACTGCAGCAGGGAACAATGCACTTGTTATGCTTACCTCAGTTCCATAAGGCAGTCTGGATATCACCTCCGGTGCCATCCAGTATGGTGTTCCAACAAGAGATTTCCTTTTCGGAACTTCCTTGGAAACTTGGGCACAGAACCCAAAATCCGATAATTTTATCTAACAATAAATAATGCAATTAAACAACATGAATGGCGAATAGGCACTGTTATGGAATTACTGTACTGGAATTGCATTAATACCTATAAACTGCTTAAAATGAAGCTGATTTGTGCTTTAGAAATTGACAAAGAGCGTAGAATTATAGGCAGGGCTGGTAGCACCACTATTATTAAGCTTGCCTGAAACTTCCATTCATGGATACATAACTTCCTAGATGTAGAGGTGATAAATGCTTTAAAGGGTTGATCAAATATTACTCTAAGGGGCACATAAAACCCAGAGTAAAAGTATTTCCTTATTTTTGGTCAAATCATCCAAATATAGATGGCAGCTGCCATCACGACTTGAAATAGAGACATGATGTGAATATCAGAGATCTGTAGAGTAGCGCCTGCGGTGTCAACGTTCTCTCATATTTACTTGTTGAGTTACAAAAAACACTGTAAAATTTGACAATTTATGAAATGCTGTTGTATTTATATCAATTAAGTACCTAGTGAAGAACATAGAATTTTCTTTTACCAACATCATGACAACTAAATGGCATTGTTACACTGTATTAAAGAAGTGTGGTATATTGGAATAGGAAGAAACATCTCAGTGAGTATACAAAACCCAAAGCTGAGGTCAATATGCCTCTCCAGTCACTATAAACCAGTGGTTCTCAAATTATGCGGGGGAGCCTCCCAAGGGAGGCACGGGAATGTGTCAAGGGAGGCACGAACTGTGTGCTTTTTTTTTTAAGAGCTCCGGCTGTCAGCTCCAGGTGTCTGGGGCTCATGTATAAGGGTTGTGCACACTCGGGAGGCAGGGATAAAGGGGACACCCAGAGCCGCGCCACCCCAGAGCTGACAACCAGAGCCCCGCCACTTGGGCTCAGGCACTCCCCCTGCAACTCCTGCAGCCGCGCTCCGGCTATCAGCCCCAGGGTGGCAGCAGCAGCGCAGAAGTAAGTAAGGGAGGCAATGGGGGTGCTAAGTCTGCTGTGAAAAGCGATATTGAACATTACTTTTCACATTGTCACCCTTATCTCTGTGCTGCTGCTGGCGGAGTGCTGCCTTCAGAGCTGGGCACCTGGCCAGCAGTCACTGCTCTCCACTCTGCCCTCAGAACTGGGCACTAAATTGTAGTATATGCATGCAGTATATGTACTTGCAGGGGGAGGGGCGCGTAAGCGACTACGGATACAAAGAAGGGGTACGCAATCAAAGAAGTTTGAGAACCACTATAAACTAGTTTGGGCTCTACATTAAGTCAATATCAACTCACTGACTATCACAATACCCAAACAACTACTTGGTAATGCTGAAAGACATTTAAAATTACACCTGAGGCCAGGCTGGGAAATTTACTTTCCACATCACTTTTCCACAGTCAGCATAGATTTCAGATTTGGTTGTCCAATACCAACATGTGGTTGCCCCAACAGTCAGTGTCTTGCCTCATGGTCTGAAGCATTGCTGCTGTTGTGACTGTCTAAAGGCATTCTGCTCATTTTCTTTTGTGTTGTGCCAGGGTTCCTTTTTTTCTTAGTGTCCCTGAATCTTACCCATGTGCCCAATGAACCTCAAGGAGTTGGGTGCCAAAATCCACTGGAAGTCCTGTAGGTTCCTTTGAAAACTCCAGTCTCTCATGTTTAACTGTGCCCTTGCATAGCCTTACACATTCCATGAGTTTATACAGCTCATTGGAAACTTTTCAACTAAATGATTTTTCATTGAAAAATGTTGTCGTGTCAGAACTGAAATGTTTCACGAACCCTTATACCCATGGAAGTTTCAACAGGATGGTTTCTCAGGTGAAAGGTGGACTTTCTAAAGGGAGAGAGAGCATGAGAGCGAGATGGAAAAACCTGATCTGAAAATGGATGTTATGACCAAGTTGTACTTTGAGGAAACCTTCCAAAGGTTTTGGCTTCATTCCAATGTGGAACAAAAACCAAATTTAGAAACCGCAGAAGTTGTGAAATGGTATTGTCATTTTCTGGACAACTCTAGTTGTGTCTTTGTTTTAATATATATTAAAATTCCACTCACATAACCAGTATGAGGCTGTTAGGCAGACCTGATTTTAAATGCAAGTAAAAATCCTAATGCCTAGGTAGCGTTATGTATATTTGGTTTGAAATTTAGCTCTGATTACACAGAATAGTGGTAGTCTAGTTCTCCACTTGTGCTGCCTCCATTTACTATTGAGTGCTCACTGTGACTCCATGCACAAATATGTTGTTCTCCCCACAAGCTGGTGGAGAACAGCCCTGAGGAGGTTGAAATGCATCTACACTTAGGCCATTCACTCAGTCCTGGAGTGGGTTTTGCTGCACTCATGTGCATGTGGGATTGTTTTGATTAAGTTCACTGTGGAAAACCCACATGCTACCATGGTGGTATTCTAGGACAATAATAATGAAAACAGCATTTCCATTGGGAGCAACATATCCTGAAAGGCAAGTCACTTGCATATTTAATGGTACTGAAGTGTAACTTTTGAGGCAACCCTGACCTAAGGCTCCATCTGGCCATGTCTTGATGGGCAAAAGAAGTGTGTGGTTTTCAATCTTATTAACTCAAGAACATTAGCTTAACTTAAATGCAAAATCTTCTTAAGAAGGAGGCCAGACAACAACATGGCCAGCTAAAATGCCTTCAGATTTGTTAGCCTGAGTCTTAACAAGCTTTTCAAGCATGTCAAACTAATGCAACTGAGCTAACGTGATTGAAAACCATGCCTTTGTTGCCTGTCAAGACAGGGCCTTTTCCCCCTCCTCTATACTTGTGTAAAGTGCTCTTAAAGGTAATTTACACTGCAATGGTGTGATGTTCTGTACCTCGGGGGAATACACTGCACCCCCATGTTCATCCTTATAATATGATTGTGTGATATCCAATGCAAAGTTTGTCATGTCGGGTGTCTTCGGAAGGCTCATGATGCACTGAGCATTGTTGTTATAGTAATGTTATAAGTGGCAATTTCATGTATATAGTTATGAGGCTGAAACTGTGTCCTTATGGCTTAAAACAGGCCCAGGCTAAACTCTCCAAGAGCAGAGGGGCAGTTCACACCTCATCAGGGCATGTATGGAACAAACCCATCCCAGCCTCACAGGAACAAAGGACACTGGCCTAGGCAGCAACAAAGGATCTGTTGGACTCTCAAATGAGTCACCCGCTTCCTTTGGTCAGTTTGGGATAATGCTCACCTAACTCTGAAGGGGGGGGGGGAAGAAGGGGCCAAGAGGGAAGAAATAACATGATAAAGGGGAGAGATGTTTGCCATGCTCTTTCTCTCTCTTCCACCTACATCTACAGACACCACACCAAGCGGCTGAAGCGCTGATCAAAGGGGCGAGCCTGGCTGAAAAGCAACCAGCCAGCCTGTGGTAAGAAGCATCTAAGGTTGTAAGGGCACTGAAAGTGTTAAGATGCTTAGAATGCATTTTGCTTTTATTTCATTTGACCAAATCTGACTTGTTTGACTTATAATCACTTAAAATCTATCATTGTAGTTAATAAATCTGTTTATTTTACCTAAAGCAGTGTGTTTGGCTTGAAGCATGTCAAAGACTCCCTTTGGGATAACAAGCCTGGTACATATAAATGTCTTTGTTAAATTGATGAACTCATATAAGTTTGCAGTGTACAGCAGGCATAACTGGACACTGTAAGACCAGTGCGGGGAGGGATTGCTCAGTGGTTTGAGCATTGGCCTGCTAAACCCAGGGTTGTGAGTTCAATCCTTGAGGGGGTCATTTAGGGGTCTGGGGATTAGTCCTGCTTTGAGATGACCTCCCGAGGTCCCTTCCAACCCTGATATTCCATGATTCTAAGACGGTGGTTCCTAGGGTTGTGTCTGGGACCGGAGATATTGGCTAGTTTCGGTTGCACAATCCAAGAGCAGCTTACATGCTAGAGGCTGTGCGTGAACAGCCCAGGAGTGGGGGTTCTCACAGCAGAGCAGGAGCTCCCAGAGTCAAGGATTGGAGTGAGCTAGCAGATCACCAGTCCAGATAACACCAGGGGAACGTCACAAATGGATAAATAGCCTCTATGGGAGAAGCCATCTCACCAAAGCATGCACGTGGAAAGGAGGAAACTCATTGAAATCTAGGCCAAAATAGGCCTATTTGAATGTAAGTGGCATCATCAAGCTACTGAACACCTGCAGGAATCTCTCTACTTGAGCTCTAAAGAGTACTTGGTTGGACATCCTCTCCAAAAGCCCGGCTGGAGAATGTATCATGTAAGAAAATGTCCTTGACATGCCCCATTCTCCCACTCCCTGGGAACTCTGGCTCCTTAACTGCTTACCTGCCTCTAACAGCATGTTGTCCTCCACTGGCTGAGCCAGGAAGAAAGCTGGGATGACAGCTCAAATATGGCTACACTGGCATTCATTCATTGCTTTCTCCCACTCCTGCAGACGGGTAGCTTTGTGGCTGGACTGAGGGGTCTGTGGCTACGTTCTGCCCTCTGGCTATGTCCAAATTTGCCTTCTTTGGCTACACCCTCAGCCTCATCTGCAGGGATTTTCTAAGAGGGCTGAAGGCTACAAAGTCTTCTGACTACCCTCCGCACTCCTGGGGCTTTTTTCTAGTGAAGGGTCTCAAATTGCTGCCCTCTATCTGACACATCTGTAAATCAGCTCTCTGTTTATACAACATTTAGCAGTAACGGTCTGTTTTCAAAAATGCATGGCTGAAAATGTATGAAGAGATAAAATGTGCACGTTTGTGTGTGCGCGCGCATACATGTGCTGTACGATATTAAACGCTTGGATGTATATTGCCTCTGTTTATAAGAGATGCTGCTTCCATGAAAAGAAAGATTGAGCCCTTAAAGCTAAGTAAGCAGGTTGTTTTCATTTATTTATGGTAGAACCCAATTTTATTGGAAGCTGTTCTGCATTCAGCTAACTTCTACGGCTACCCATTTTACAGTGTAATTGCATTTCCAGGACTGACCTTTCGCCTTGCATGTCAGAGATGGAAAACTTTGCAC